TGACGATACTATTCAAAATGGCCAAATGATGGCCATTTTTGTGCTTAAAAATCATCAAATATCAAGCATTTATGGATGGATTTTGTTCAAACTTGGTACATATATTAGACATTACAGGTTCCTGATGTACATCATTTATTTTACAGATCGGATTCAAAATGGCTGTCTGGCGGCCATTTTGTTTTAATGAATGGGCTTCTAGACCCATATCTCCGACTTGTTTTGACTGATTATATTCAAATTTTAAATATTCATTATACATCATGTCATAGATAAACAGATATTTTGGTTTGACGTTCCTATTCAAAATGGCCGAATGGTGGTCATTTTTGTACTAAAAAATCATCAAATATCAAGCATTTATGGATGGATTTCGTTCGAACTTGGTACATACATTAGACATTACAGGTTCCTTTTCAGATGGGATTTAAAATGGTTGACTGGCGGCCATTTTGTTTTAATGATTGGGCTTCTAGAGCCATATAGAGCTCTTAAATGCTTTGACTGACTATATTCAAATTTTATATATTAGTTATATATCATGTTATATATATATACATGTATTCAAAATGGCTGATTTTGAATGCTGTTCCAGAGCAATATCTCTCAATATGGACAAGTACTTGTTTGATGATCAGATACAAATGTCAATCATTTCAATCATATTCCTGACATGGTTATATTCCCGCTATATTACTATAAACAAAACTCTATATATATCTTAAATTTGATAACTAATGGGGACTGTGCCATGCATGGCTTGTTTTCATATTAATTATTACATAATAATTATTACGTTCTCATATACACCATAATGATAATTTAATAATGATTTCCTGTTTTTTCACGGTCAATTTAGATTTCGTAGCTATTTGCTTGTTTTGGGGCTATAAGGAATTCAAAATTCCTTTTACTTTGAATGTAACATTTGAAAAGATTACTTATATAATAATTTGACTCGTATTCATCAAATTTTCTCAGTGAGAAAAAATCTGACAAGATCAAAAAGCAAAATACATGTCAAAATACATGTCTGTAATAAAATTACACTACCAGTTCCCTCTTTTCATCACAAATTCACAAAATAGTCCAGTTTATAGTCTTCACTTTCATTCAGAAAAGTGGGACAAAGGTAGCCAAATTTGTTGGTTAAAAACCAGATACAATTCCATATAATATATAAGAAAAAAAGTGTAGAAAAATTTGGGTAAAAAAGACTGGTAGTAAAAAGGTTAAGATTATCTTTTTTTTATTTTGCAGATTGTCATGTGATTCTGGCTGCTGGTGTGCCTTTAAAAGAACCAGTTGTACAGCATGGACCATTTGTAATGAATACAGAGACAGAGATACAACAGGTATGATATGAATATAACTCTATTGGTTGTATACTGGTAGAATCCAGAAGAAAAAGTTTGGCTTCTTGTCAATGTTTAATATTTCTCAAATAATGCTTTCGAATACATGCATTAACAGTTTATTAGAATCCTCTGAAACAGAAAATAAACATTTCCAATTCTATTCTGTATAAAAGAAAATTTGAATGTTCAAAAAGGTGCCAATTAAATTTTATTGTTTTCTATTGTAAATGTGCAATAATGCATGTTATTGACTGATTAAAACAGAGACATGCTTTATCCCTTACAACATGCAGGTTAGTGATGTCACTCTGTAAACTGGCAACATTTCATGATATACGGATCAATATTTGTTGTCAACAAACTATTATTGGTCCGTGTATAGTGGATGCCAGTACTATACGTAACTTATGTTTTGTTGTACCTAGGCAATGAAAGATTACAGATCTGGTAAACTTGGAAGTATACCAGGAAGTGAGGAACGCTTTGCACAGACAGAGGCTGCAAAACAAAAACAACATATATCAGGCACCTGAAAGGAATTATGAATAACTACAATTTGGGCCCTAAATTTAAAAATGAATGAATTGAAAGTGATAGAAAATTCCATGATACACGCACAGAAAGAGTTTGTATTTTATGTAATACCAATTGTGTAGAGTATCATTTTTGCATTATCTGTCCATTTTACCAAGAGTTCAGATCTAAATACATTCCAAGTTATTACTATACATTTCCCTCACCCGAAAAATTTATATCGTTATCACAATTACAAAATGTAGTAATCTTGCTTAATATTTCTAAATTTATTTTTCTCGCCACATAAAAACGTAATACAATTATTTTGGTCTGACAGTTCATGTTCTTTTCATATTTTCTTGTGCTTTTTCAGTCACTGTAAAATGACATTGTCCTCTGTAAAATGTTATGTAATTACAATGAGTATACCTTGAGGCTGGAGGCCTACAATATTTTTGAATAAATTATAATAATAATTGTATAAAAATGGATTTTAAAATAATAATGCCTTAGATTGAGCTGTGTTTTTTTCATATTTTCATGTGATATTATTCCATAATTATTGAGTACAGTTATAGTAACTAATTTTAACACTTTTTTTTTGATTTTCTGAATCTAAATGAGTTACCGAATGAAATTATGTTCAGAAGTTTTGGAAATACGATAAAAAGACTTATCACTTGGGATGTATTAACTTAGCTGTAATGTTTGTGATTCAACTTAGCGGTTCACGGATTACAGCTGTTATAAAAAGCAATATTTGAAAGCTGTCAAAAGAGGCAGCTCTAAAACTGTTGGACTAGGGCTCATATAACCAGTATTTGATGAAAATACCATCATGGTGAAAGATTTGTGTAATGTTTTCTCAAATAAATCTGTCAAAAAATACTTTGATACAAAAGTGGGCATATTCTGTACAAAAGTTCAATCTATATTGACTCAACAATCAATGGTTTCAGCTTCTGATATCTCACATAGAGAGAGTTTAGAAAATTGAGAATTATGTGACATTTCATTACTGGCAGTGCTGTCATAGCAACAAGTTATTTTTACCACAGTTTTCACTATTTCTAATTTCTACGTCATAGATATCGCAAAGTTGCTTATTAGCATATTGTAATAGTACACATGCGCTGAATAAAAAGTGACTCTTGGCCATTCTTGAATTTACTGTGAACCGCTTTTTTAGTCGTTCCTTCAGTCCTTACTTACCCCATGTTTAGATACGTTACAACTAGCAACAAGAATGGGCGTATGTGTTAAATACATTCATTGCAACGTTTTTGGTCTAGAGTATGATTGACGGTGTCAACAAATGAAAAAAGATTAAATTCAAGTTTACAAGTGCCGTCTGGAAAAATTTTAAACAAACAAAATAATGTTGGATTTGAAGATTTTCGCTTTGGAAAGTGTTTCAATATAAACGTGACTTTGCTGCCACGGCATACCCATCAATCTGATTGAAATAAGATCTTTATTGGGTTGTTTCGTTATTTCTTTCCCTTTTTCATTATTTTTGGTGTCACTTTCCCCTTGGATTGCAAAATCTCCACAAATGGCGAGACCAAATAAAAAAGACAATGACAAAAAAATAAATAATATCCCAGAACAGAATCTTATTTTAATCATATTGGTCATACCCCCTTTGACTAAATATCACAAGATAAGCAGATGATTCCTCTGTGATAGTATACCTACCTGTGCATTTATTTGCCAAATCATGCGAGATCTTGCTTGATGCTAGAACTAATCTATTTGAAGAGGTATAATAGATTCCAGACTAACATGATAAAAATCATTTGCACTTTAATACACAATAGAACAACAACAAAGTAGAAAAAATAACAACTGTTTACAACACTGATCAACATGTGTATTACTGATCAACTCTTCAGCTCCAGAGCCAACAAATCAAAACTCATTCTACATTTTTTGATACATGAAAGATTGGCTATATTGCAAACAAAAACCCAATTATTTCACCCTCATGAATTGTCAAATTACGGTTACCGGGGGTACTGTTAAAAGATGGCATGACATGGGAAAGGTACATTTCACATTTCTTGAAATATTAAAAATTTATAAACTTCTGGTAATGTTAATATGAAATTGATACATAAAATATGTAAAGCCTTATGAAATATATTGTGTTTTTCCAGTAACCCTACCTACCCATATTTTGAGGAAATTTTGAAACGTTTATTTGATGCAAACTATTTATTTCTATGGCATATTCACACAACAAATCTTGTAATTTTTTTTTTATTTCCTGTACTATCTTCTATGTAGTGAAAGACTTGAAAACTAACTGATGTCATTTTTCACACCTCTAGTTAAACAATGATTATATTACAAAAACCTAAGAGTAGAACTTATTGAAAAAAAAAAATGAAATGAAAATAAATAAAAATTCTAGTCTGCATGCCTACCCGTATTACTGGAAACGCCTAATTTCTTAGGCCAAAGTAAATCTGGAGTATATTTATGAAGGATATTTAATTTGTTAGATTCAATATTAAGTGGACTATTTGAAATTTTGTTTTTCTTCAACATTCATTTTTATAGATTCTGAAATCTTGATCAATGTTTTGTAAGCATGTGATTGTCTTAAAATATGGAAGGTTACAAAAAATAAGTGAGTGGTGAGAGGGTTAAATAATAAGACACATCACTTAAAATCAGGTTGTATCAATGGCTGATGATGATGACCTCGTAACAGACTGAATTGCAATTGCACTTACTACACAAGTGCATAGAAATTATCTGGTGTGTTCAGTATCTGTGTGTAGACAGATGTCCATCCAAGTCTCTTTAAAGCACAGTTCAAATGGTCCATATTTGCTTCTCGACCCGCAATTGACCTCCATGCTACAAACATGTTGTAGACCTGATGTTGCAGGTTGTCGGGCGTTGCCATCTTGATCTGCATGAGTATATCATCACTAAGGCCAAGCTCATGACCCAGCTGTGGATACCTGTTCCCAATCAATGTTGCCATGGTAACCAACTTTCTATCACAAAAAAGACCTAAAAATGATGGAAATATTGAAACCAAAATAAGATACCAGTATAATATCAAAATCAAAAGAAGCTTAGAAAGAATTACCCCCTGTGCTTGGAGGGAATTGGATACATGAAATAAATTTAAAATAACAAATAAATTAAAGGTACCGTATTAACAAATTTAAGACAAGCCTGTCAAATAAGAAGACTTAGTTGCTCTTTAAAATGCAGTGTGAAAACACTCGGATCTATACAAGCTAATAATACAAATCAGTGGCTTTTGAGGGGGGGGGGGGTCTGCACATTTTTTTCTCACCCAACAGGGCAACAAACTTTACTTTTTATCTGTGTCCGTTATATTTTTGTCTCTGTGTGGAGAGTAGTCAAACTTTTTTCCCTTTTTCAGAATAGTGTTTTAATTCACTCATAAGCAGTATGCTTCAGGAAGAGTAACAAATATTTCCTTGTGAATCAACAGTATAAATCACTAACTCAACACCCCCCCATCCCCATCCCCACAGTTTAGTGCACATGTTGCATATATGAGCTACAATAGTTGGTGGGCATAATGAATGAATGAACTTTATTGTTCCCGTGTAAAAGAGTAGGTTACATAGGGTGTTTGCAACAATAAAGAATTTTTGTTAACAAGATAATATTTTGAAAATAACTAGAATGAATGTACTTAAAATTCAACAAATAAATAAATATGTATAAAAGATAAATACACAAATAAATTATTAAAGAAATCTAATCTCTAATTTTGGTCGCAGCTAAAATAAATATTCTATTTGCATATGTGGTTTTAATATTTACCAAAACTCAGTGTGTCTGTCAGTGTGTTGTTATATGAGAACTGCTGTCACATAACTGTAAAGTTTAATTTTAACCCTTGTCATTTAGGAGGACACGCTTTAAGAATGTTAATTTGATGGGGGTATGTTTCTGGTTCAAATACTGGTTAGTCTCTATCACACTCTCCTGGTTAAAAGCAAAGACACACATATTCAGAAATATATTCAGGCACTGCCAGATAGATAGATAACACTTTTTTTTAGACTAAATTGTTTCTAAATATTCTACATTTACGTAGTTGAAAATGGTTACTAATGAGAGGAGCAGTACCATACAATAAGCAACATGTCATATTAGCGAATGTGACTCAATGCACAAATATACTAGCTTACATCTTGTATTAGAGAACTAATTAGATTAGGTAAAATAACACGCTTAGCTAAAAGACATGTTTTACAGTATATAAGAGGGTCATTATTTCTGGGCGGGGATGGGTGTGGATTATTCCCGTTAAGTAAGTTTTGTGTAAACAATTTTTTGTCACATCACATCGCTATGTGTTTTGGACGGGAGCAGCGATCATTGCGTGGGTATTACAGGTATTTATAATCACAATGTTGACTGACAACCAAAAGGCGTAAGATAAATCCACGTATTGAATATAAAAGAAACCATAAGAACCTGGTTGTGCATAACACGACACCACTCACCATTCTCGTCGTAAATGGACGCTCCGCCAGCAAGTCGACCACCATCACTACACCGAGACATTTTCTTGTAATCTCACTGTCTTTGTTGATCCAGTGCTAGCAAATTTCTGTCACCAAGACGTGAACAGCGAAATAGCAAGGTACTTGACTCAGATGTCGGCAGTCATGTTTACAATGTGTTGCCAACTAAGGATAACATTCATATGCAAATTAGATATCACAGGTTGACCTCAAGCAATTTTATTAAGCGCCCTCCTACAGAAGAAACCAAAATATGAACGCTTTTGTTTTTTTATTGACAATGAAGTGGAGCATTTGTCGTTGCCATCTACTTGTAGTAACTTCTATATTGGAAAACGAGGATTATTGTTTTGGTACCTTAATGCATTGTCATGATTATACAAATGTCAATATACCCTTGATGCGCTGCTGAAATGAACTGCCACAAATCAAACCATTATGATTTCTGGTTCAAGTTGATCAGAAGATCACCCCTTAAAATGCTAGTTTTTGTGTAATACTGTAAAATTTCAACCACTTTTAAATGATAGTTTTGACAATACAAAATTACTTTGAAATTTTGAACTGGTCAAATTTATAGAGTAAAAATCTTTGATAACAAAAATATTAGATGGTGCATCAGAAAAGCAACATTTCCGTGAAAACAAGATTGTTTTCAGAATTTTCCTTCATATACACACACAGGAATGTGTTCACAAGAAATTGTGCTAACAATGTTAAATTCTACACTGTGGTAGTATGATATGCCACTATATTATATAATTTTATCATATTGAAAGTACATTATGGACAATAACATGCAATTGTTAGTATTGTTTTATATTGATGGAAATATTGAACTATGATTCATCATAATTTTAAAATATATTTCTTGCAGCACACATCAGAGTATTTGCTTGATATAACAATAAAATTCTCTAATATGCATGTGCACTTGTTTTAGAACAATGAATAAAAATCACTGCATATGCATTTAAAGAAGGGGCGTCGTCACCTATGCATGCGTCAGATGGCCATAGCGCGTCATTGTTTACAAAAAAGCGTCTGCCTATAAGCCTTTGCGTTTTTAGCATGTGTTGTTATCGTCGCTTGGGACTCAATTCCCGTACATGCGCAGGTGACGACCCTCCCACTTTAATTTTCATTTAATAAATTGGGTCTACAATATGGAGCATCAAACAGCAAGATTAAAACATTTTCCTCCACAATGCATCTTCAAAATTAAATTTTCATAATATATGACAATATTACATGTATGGAAGCAAGCGTCCTTTAATGCCCAGTTTCCATTTATTCATAAAAAGTTTCAGAGTAGACATGGAAAAACAAGACAATGTCCGGCCGGTATTTAGCATATAAAGACAGAAGGTAGGCAGTCCATCATTGAAGCTGAACCATACGCAATAACAGTTCTGGCTGCAAAATGACTAAGTTCTCTTTTCTTAAACTGCATACAGTGAAATGTTTAAATGAATGCCACCACTAGCACACTATGATATAGACGGCAGTATTCTACACACTGTCAGCCTATATAAACAGGTGTGTATAAACAGTCTTTGAAAAGACTAGTAGATGTAGATCCTGTGTCTCACAGACCACGTTGACATCATCACAATGGACAAACTAGATATCAATGTTTTGACTTAAAAAGTCAGATGAGTATTTGTTATGTGGGAAGGATTAGGCAGAGCTTTTTTTATACTGCCTCAACAGATGGGAGTACATTCTCCGTAATAGTGCAAGATGGACTTCAATTTTTTTTTTTTTTTGGGGGGGGGGGGGGATAATGTTGCAAACAGATTTAATTATCTTTCCAGTATAACTGATCAGTTGCATTGACTTGAATAGAATAAATAATAAAAAAAACAGAAGAGTACTTGTTGGCATCAGTTACAACTTGTAAATACATCCTTGTCTTTAATAAGCATGTGATTTTAATTACACAGCAATACATAGTTTTCAATAAGTAACAAACAAACGTACTGCGAAATATTCATAAAATACCACAAAATTACAGCATTGAAAGCTTTAAGCAATCGTAATAAAAAAAAGGACAGTATAAAGACGCTTGAATATCATAAATGTTTACACTATTATATGCTAAGATTATGCCCTTATTCGATAAATAAAACTAAAATGTCCAAAATAAACATACACTTGTCTACTTACGTTATATATGGCAGTTATGTACCTTAAAATAACCCTCACTAAAATGTTAAAAGACAGCAGAGATGCCACAGGATATTTTCATTTGTAACACTTTGAACAGATATTGGAGATAACAAGCAAGTCATTTCATGGAATTGAAAGAAAGAAGATAGTAAGGACAGCAAATACATCAAAATAATACATACATTTATAACATAACAAAACAATTTTAGGGACATTAACACAAATCATTATTGCATGCGATTGTCTACAAAATATTACAAAGAACTTACTGGAGTGATGGCGACAACTGTCTATGGTGTGGCTCTAATATTTGATTCAGTGGACTAAACCACTTCAAGGTGGGGGGTGCTGGTTAGTTTAAAAATAAATAGAAAATGTGTTTCAGGTACCAGCTATAATTGCTTCAGTTATTCTGCATTGCTATGCTTGTTTGTTTGTTGTATGTTATCTCCAAACAGCCTCATCTTTGCTTTTATTTGTCATTGTCTGAGAGCAAAAAGCACAATATACAATTTTTTCTACTGCACAACAAGCACCTTTAAATGAAATATAATAAATAGTTGGTAATCGTTGTCCCAAGTAACTATCCAAAATAATAAGCAATGGCTTTTCCTACCTCAGGTTAAATTGTTACTTAGGACAATAATTACCAAATATTATATTTCTTATTCCAAGCAGCCTTTAAATTAAGCTACTCTGTGAATACACGGATACTGGATTGTTCATGAAATGTTATATATACACAATGAAACATTTGACAACTTGACCCAATTCATGTGTATATTGCTTAGAAATCTATTGGCAACAGTTTGGCAAAAAATTGGGGTGGGGTGTAAACCGATATAAAAAAAATGCTAATAGACCTACATAAAATATTGTATTACCAAGACTGCATATGTATGTACAAGTTTTTTTTTCAGTTTATTTGACGTTGACTTGTATTCACATCAGCCAAGTCACAACAAAGCCAGTCACTGAAAAAGAACAAGGATGCCTCCAACATTAGATATAACGTTATACTTTGACCTTTAATCCTGCACTGATGTTAGCAACCAGTTGCCACGGATACAAATGCACAACAAAAACTTCAGGCTTAAATATCAAGACTGTCAGGAATTTTACAAAACGTTCCACTTAAGAAACTCAAATAATTGCAGCTTATCAATTTTACAACCTTAAATTGTTTCCAGAATTTAATAAACCAATTTGGTTACCACTAGTTCTCGTGAGTTGCTGTTTATTATATACAGTAGTGGTAGCACAAAAATTACAAGGTGTATGAACAGCATTGTTGATTAAACAAGGACCCCAAGGCATTGATGATTTAACAAGACTCCCTAGTCTAGTTATAGTTGACAAAACAAGACCACATAGGCATTGACAATTTAACAAGACTCCCTCGGCAGCAGAACATCCATCCAATCAGCTACTAAAATCTCCCATGATTCATCGGGATTCGTAGTTCTGTTTTTCAATCATAATTCATGCTGATATGTTACAGATTTCAGGATATTCATAAAATAATTTTCTCAAAGGTTTGAATAATGAAAAAGCACCATCAATGAATAAAAAATAGTAACCTTTGACACAGTGAAATCCTAGGCTGTTTAAAAGTGATTTTTCTCAAAAAGGCAAATCAATTTTGACGCTGTAACACAATGTCAAATCAACACAGTCAGATATCAGAAACTGATGACAAGATTTCAACACAAGTCATCACATTCTCTGCCGATAAATTTTAAATTTACTGTTAGAACTTCAAAATGTCAAAGGCAACAATTTATACTAAGGGGGATTTGCAAAAGATCTCTTCAAACACCACCATTCTCATCAGGCGTGGACGCTGGTTTGTCAGATTGCGATCTCTTAATATATAAGTTCAGAAGTTTCATCTGGAAATAAAAAACACAAACATAATCATCATTATAAACATGTCATGCAGGTCAAGTACATGAATTATATATGACCTTATAAAGGTCACACATCCTGGTAATTATATGACCTTATAAAGGTCACACATCCTGGTAATTATATGACCTCATAAAGGTCACACATCCTTATAATTAAAGACTTCTTTTAAAAGTAGAGTGACATAGCAGTATGATCAGATGGATGAACAGTCATCGTAATTTACCATGTTAATCAACTTACAATATAAATGAAATACAACCTTACCTTGCTGCCAGAAAGATCAGTTAAATGGTCTTTTAGGTTATCACCAATAAGATTATGAATGGCTACTAGACAAAAGACACTCGCTTTGCGTACACTGCTTTCTGGATGCTCATAACCCTGAATAGAAAAAGAGATAGAAATAGAATAGAATAGAAAAACTTAGTTGGCTGCCATTTTGAAATTTTCTTTCAGTTTGCAAACCTTTATATACACTGTGACAGTTTGCAAACCTTCATATACACTGTGACAGTTTGCAAACCTTCATATACACTGTGACAGTTTGCAAACCTTCATATACACTGTGACAGTTTGCAAACCTTTATATACACTGTGACAGTTTGCAAACCTTCATATACACTGTGACAGTTTGCAAACCTTCATATACACTGTGACAGTTTGCAAACCTTCATATACACTGTGACAGTTTGCAAACCTTTATATACACTGTGACAGTTTGCAAACCTTCATATACACTGTGACAGTTTGCAAACCTTCATATACACTGTGACAGTTTGCAAACCTTCATATACACTGTGACAGTTTGCAAACCTTCATATACACTGTGACAGTTTGCAAACTTTTACCGTATTACCCCGGGCACATGCCCAGGGGCCTGAACATAAAAAATCGGGAAAAATTGGGGGTGGGCGCATAAATGAGGACTACCCCAAAAAAGATTTTAAAAAGTTGTTTTTGTGATCGTATGATAAAGGAATGCTTTCGCACACTTTGTACACAAAATTATTTCTTGATTTATGCGAGGTTTCAATAAACGTGAGCACTCGGTCAAGAACTGTGGGAACACTAAGACACAGAGTCGAATTTCAAGAATAAAACTTGTTTTATGTCAGCGAATGAAGTTGTATTACTCACTGAAATTGGCTACAAAGTATGGTAAGTATTGTAATCAATGCACGGTTACTTTTTTAGTACCAGTAACCGTGATCAGTGCAAGTCGAAACAGCCGGGAAAAACTACCGCTTGTAATCCAAGATGGCGATGACCTCATTAGCATAATTTTGTTCACGCACGTATTGCTACATCGCATCGTAAATACTGAAGAATAGCAGACAGGGTTATGAAACAAATAAACCTTTTATTACTGATGTGAAATGTTTACAAACTATTGTGAATACATAAACAGTTCACAGTCAGCGAAATGCTACGTTTTGAAACCAAAGCAAAGTGCTTCAAACCCCCGGTTTCAAACCACTCACCAAGGTATGGATCGTTGCAATATTGGATTCATCGTGAATGAAGAGAAAGCAGAACGTGTGCGCCACATGCTGCATGGTTCATCTTACGTCGTTAAGTTCCAACGAGTTTTTACGTAAAAACACAAACAAAACGGCCCTTTTCAGGGTGACCACACACTCCAAAAAGAGAACTACCGTCACAAACACACTATTTAAATAAATCGAACACGTTCGTTTTTGACTAATAATACTTTATTGTTGACCCCGTTCTTGGCTAAATATCATCCTGGGCGTTTAACCGAGGATGTCCCCAACATGTAACTTTTGTGAAAACAGGGGGTGGGCGCTTGCCCAGGGAGGGGCGCGTGCCCGGGGTAATACGGTATATACACTGTGACAGTTTGCAAACCTTTATATACACTGTGACAGTTTGCAAACCTTCATATACACTGTGACAGTTTGCAAACCTTTATATACACTGTGACAGTTTGCAAACCTTTATATACACTGTGACAGTTTGCAAACCTTTATATACACTGTGACAGTTTGCAAACCTTCATATACACTGTGACAGTTTGCAAACCTTCATATACACTGTGACAGTTTGCAAACCTTTATATACACTGTGACAGTTTGCAAACCTTCATATACACTGACAGTTTGCAAACCTTGATAAACATACCTTAAGAAGCCCAGATATTATTTCATGTTGCATCTCATCAAAATCTGATTTAGAAATTAATTCCACAACCTGTAAACACAATATAAGTATATTTAATTATTAACTGTGTATCATATGTAATGTATTAAGTCATGTGCTATATTGAGAGCCATGCTGTGCATCATATTATGTGTCAGTCATGAGACATGTACAAGTTGTGAGTCACAGTTGGACAATATCTTGTGTGCCACAGTCGTGTGCCAAAGCAGTGTGCCATGTTGTATTCGATATAGGTTTCATGCAGCGTATACAATACAAGTAAAAACACAATTTTATGAAATTCAAATGCAGCACTTTAAATAAAGCACCATGAAGCTAATCATAACTAGATCTGTTTCTTGTGTTAGTACACACCTTTGTCAACATCTTGATAGCCGCTAGATTGACAGGATAATCAGCTGTCTGGATCAGTGGACACAACACACGTACACATGTTGAAGGTGGGATGGAATTAGCCAACGTTACCATTGTCTCCTCTGCGGCTCGTATAACCTGCCAACACAAGACAAAACATTGGTTGATAATATTTCTAAGTTTGAACAAAAAAAATTGGGTTATCCTGATCACAAAAAAGCGACAGCGACAACGTACGATAATAAATACACAATATCATAAATTTTTAAAATCAACATCACCTATATCCACATTCAGCTAAGATTTGAAATAAACAAAAGATTACAATATTTCACCACATGGTGTCACTCTTACATCTTTTTGTGGATCTTTATGTGCTTCAAGTATTTTGAGAATGGTCAACTCGGCATACACCGTAAATCTATCAGGCTGATTTTTTAGAATTTCTCTAAGTGTCCTTAAAGACATTGCTCGTACTGTAGGGTCAATGTCGTTAAGCGTCTCCGTCAAAACCAATAGCACAGCTTTAAAATGAGTGTCCCACAGCGCAGACATGTCTTCCCTGGCAATCTTCATCAACTGATGCAGTGCTGATTTTCTCTCCTCGCCCCTACAGTGATAGAAATATATAAACTCTTATTCAGAATATCTCAGTCTGAAACACTCAGTATTTGAATAATACTCAAATGGAAATTTTGAACTTGGTATATCCCCAAAATTACTAGGAAAAACACCTGACTGGCCGGGAAATTTTTTTTTTCTATCTTTCAATTCTGCTTGCCTGCCCTGTTTTTAGGTTAAAACACAAGTTACAAGTGTCAGAGACTGCTTTATCATCTGAATGGCAACTAGTTGAGCATAGTGACAAGAGAAATTTATCATTACCAGCATTAAATATCTCAATCATCCTAAACATAAAACCATTGATACACTGAATCTCTGCCCACCAACTTGAATAAACTGACTTTCAGTAAAGAGGGGCATTTCTCAAAGGTCTACAGAAAATATATTTTACCTTTCATTGTGATTAGATAATTCCCGGATAATATCAGCTAATATATCAGATTCATCTGCAGAGAAAATATGTAGAATTGAATACAATTAATTCAGTGAGTGCTAAGACTTGACCTTCATATTTGGTAATCTGATCATATACTATAAAATAATTTATTTTCGCTGAAAAGTCTTTTTAGGTGTTTTGTATGGAATTTATTTTCACTGATTTAATGACGAGTTGAATGTGAAATATTGGAAAAAAGGTTTATTCACTGGAGTTTATTTTCACTGAATCATTCCTTCAGCAAAAATAGCAAAAATTAAATCAAAGCGAAAATAAAGTATTATACAGTAACCCTACTAACATAAAATCTGCCGCATCCCAATTCCCACATGTGTAGATAGTCTAATAAGAGTTGCATTTTATCTGCTGCACTGTACTGTACCATACAGATTTTGAATTACCGGGTAGGGTCAGTTGAAATTTGCATAGATATATTATACATGGAACGTCTGTATGAACAAACTAAGTATGTCCTTAAAGCTGATTTGTAAAATCTGTTATAAACCAAACAGAAAATACTGCAAAAGATTCAATACTGAAGTGCATTAAGTACAATAAGCTTTGAAAGATAATTGAATACATCTTTCACAGTGATAGCACTGTTCCCTTCAATAGATACCAGTGACTACAGAAAACATTCATACAATCCTAATTTAGGAGAAAATATTGAAACATTGTGAAAGCCTAAATTACAATATTTATGTCATAAAAATATTACCGTTATAGCTCCAGTTAGACATTTGTGTTGTCACACAAGAACATTTGTTCTATTAACGTCAGTGAGTGTTCTATTGTACTTGAGGGCACAATCACCATTATTTAATACAAGAAACAAAGTACATACCTCGGTTAAAAGCTCCATCTATATTATCATCAAAAGTAGCTTCAGCTAGCGCTGAACGATTAAAACTATTATTAACAGCCTGGTTATGTGAAAAAATTAAAATATAATATTAACATAGGGTTGAGAAAAGAAACCAAAACAATTGAAAAATGTATCAACATATTTGCTATCAAAAATGTAACGTCGTAATAGAAAAAGTTACTTTTTTAGATTATTTGTGTCAGACATACTCCAAATAGAAACTACTGCGATGCGTATGGTCAAGGGAAATTGTCCATGCAGCGTACTCAATCAGTGCAATTTTCTCAGTGCCCTCTATAAGTGGATCTTTTCATCTAAATGTACGGGAACAAAAAATAATATTCTACAACTTTTTTTTAAAGAAAATTCTGAAGTTGTCTCAGAGTCAAATATACCTTGAGGGAGCACTGTGCATTAAAAAAACTGATTACCGTAACACATGACCAACCATAGCACCAATAACCTACCAAAATAGATGGTATTTTGTCCTGCGGCTGTAACCAAACACTCTGAAAGGTTTTCCCATACATACCATTTTCATACAGAGCATATTTTCTGGCATAGTGAGTAGCAGCCAGGTATAGTTCAGTTTAATAACATACATATGTTTTGTGAGATAAGTAAAGGTATAAAAAGAAAGTTTTGTTTTTGTGAGCAAATATGTTAAGACATGACGAGAACATAAATACAGATGAAACGCTTTAATTGGTAAATGTGACGCTATTCGAGTAGTATTTCGAGAGCTGCATAGAATGCGATTACATCAAGAAGTGAGAAACCACTAAACCAAGTGATGCTGTTTTTGTGACAACTTTGGGAGGAAATTCTCGGACCGGAGCTATGTCACAGAACGTTTTACGTTGCTAAGACACTGTGCCATGTATTTCTATGAACTCTGCACGAGCTGTTGTGGAACGCCATGGAGCCGAAGAAGTGAAAACAGCTAAAGTTGAGAAAACAGCACAAACTCAACTATGAGATAATCCCAAACGACCAAATTTCTACATGTTGCACATATAAGGGTAATCTTGTTACACTGTTGAGGAAAGTCTCTACAAATAGCCCAATGCACAATTTTTTAAAAGTTTTAGACTTGTTTTCACTAGCTAAGGTTGCCAGGTGGTGAAACAGTGGCGGATCCAGAGGGGGGAGGGGGGGGGATCGGAGGCATGCCCGACCCCAAACACACGACGATTTGTATCATCTCGATTACGCATAGCTTCTCTGCGATTTACGGTCCGTACATCTTAAGCGTAGCTTGGACCCCCCCAATACATTTTGCTGGATCCGCCACTGTGGTGAAATGCCTGGATGTCTGCTCCCGAGAATAGCTTTTCATTACATTAGGCAGACATGTCTGATCAGCTAATATGAAGAGTGAGAGAAAGTTGTTTTTTTGTTTTCTTCACTAGAAGCCAAACATGAAAGATTATATACAATGTATGTATAAATGAAACATTCATTTGGAATTTGGAATATGACAAAAAAAAAACAATGTTATGTATGCAGCTCTCTAAATTATCTACTCATGATCAAAACTGAACAATTCAATACAAATTACCATGTCACTGAGCGTTTATAATTTCACAAGAACAAAAAGTAAGTTACAAACAATGACATGTGTTCCCAATGCTTTGATTGTTCAACCTTGGGTAATAGCGTCCATTTTAATACCACATTATTCAGATATAGGGAATCAGGAAACAAAAAGAACCAGGAGACATAGGAATCAGGAGAATGCAAATTAGGGTATAATGGGATGAAAAGTAAAGTCACTTGCACAGGCCATAGAGGGAGCTGTTTTGAGAATATGGGTAGCCATCTTGGAAATTTATCATCTACAGAATTGTTACTGCATCCTCTAGTGCCATGTATAGTAATGCACCACATTGGAACTAAGAACCAAAGCCTGACAATATATTGAACTGTCATCTTGAGATAGACTAATTGGAAATGTTTATGAGTTAATTGTACTATCTTTTTCAAATTGTTTTTTAATAGGTATTGAAAGAATGCTAGTGGGAGCAGGCATTCTGTCAGGCTTTGGTTCTAGAAACAGCAGCGCACCGCATTACAAATCATTAAAAGGGCAAAAACCATTATGTCGTTAATATGAACACCGTTATTAGTGAATCTACCTTGCTAAGACCTACTGTGATTAAGGGAATATTCAAAATGTAAGTAAGTGGGTGGGTGAGTGGATAATGTGAGAGTAAATGAAATGCTACTACCATACAGAAAACAAAATAAAGGAAAAAGTAAAAACCAGTTGCACCTAATCGGCAGGTTTGAAGAAAGTAAACAGTTTCTGAACATAAATAATAAAAGAAAATAAACAAACACAAGTACTACTAACATTGTCAGTGTAATTGGAGGGATTATAGTTCTGTGTCATGTTGGACTTTGTACTTGATTGTGGAGATCTATGTTCTGATAACACCTCCCTGTGTGGCGTAGAATAGTCGCCTACAACATCAGGACTGTCTACTCTAACATCGGGAATAGAACTTGTAATACCACTATCGGCAGATACCTCATCACTTTCAATTTTATCGGGGTCTTTCACGAAATCATCCAGTAGGTCGTCTCGACTGCTGCGCAGACTGAAGTTTTGGATCTCTGCTGTGGTTTTGCGTAGTGAGTTGTAGATTTCCTCAGAGTTCATGTTATGTATGTCAGAGTCAAAATCAGGATACGTGGTACGTGGTGAGAGTGCGTCCCCTCTTGGGTGTGCCCTTGTTCGGTGCTGGTATGCAGATGATCGACTGGGTGTGTTGCGAGGCCTGGGTGGAACATTCTTTGGAAGAAAAAAAACGCCACAAAGCGGAAAAATGAGCAACTAAAGAAGCGTAAACAATTACCATATTTGCTTTATTAAAAGTTTTTGCTTTGATTGACTGCTAAAATATTCTTATTACTTTACCGATATAAAAATGCACTTTCAATAAAGCAAATACAGTATCAGTTAAGCATGCAGCAGTTAACAAACATGCATAACAGAAAACATGGTGTTGTATAATGAAAACACTTACTCTCACGCTGGGTGGTCTGACCAATGTTTGCACACACTAATATTGCAATAGAATGAATGGAAAAAGCAGGTGAGAAGACTGATTCAACACTGAGGGCGCCATTGTGTCCGGTTTGAACCATTCGTTTAACAATCAGATTACTGTCAATATTTGTCAACATGGAGAGTGGCCTAATGTCAGGTTCAAACCATCTATGGCATGTTTTGTTTTGTCAAATCATGCCTTGGTCCGTGATTGTCATTTTCAAAGACGGCGGAAAAATGTCAGACATCCCTTTGTGCAACGATCAGAATGCAAATATCAAAATGACTTTGCCATTTTTAACTAGCGGCATGCAAACATGTATTCTGATAGGATAGTTTCTATTCTTTTTGTGAGATTTCTTAATCATATTTTTATCATTTTGTAAACTTGAATGAAACTGTAAGGAAAAAACAATCATGATGATTACAAATTTTGTATAGATTTTAGTAATAACTTCAAAATGATCGGATGCACCCCCTCACCTATCAGATTAATGACATTAATTGCCAACACTGAGGGCGCCCTACACCCAGGTTCAAAAAGCAAACATATCTTCAACCTTGAAATACATGACATACATATAGAATGTGGCAATTGTTAAACACAGAGTGACTTCAGTGCTCAAACCTACCAAGTTTATTACCTCAATTCCCTTCTTACAATGGCTATTGTTGACAAAATATATATATACAATTTGTTGCTTAACCGAGATGAGAAATATGACTTCATGTAATTATGTACACTTCACGCCACCTGGTGAACACTACAATTGTCCAATCACATTAGCATAATTCCCTCCCACAATGGCCATTGGTGATAACAAATACAAAATATATAAATAAAATTTACTGTAGTAGACATCCTGTGTGCTAATGGTTGAGACTGAAGACAATAGCACATCACACAACCTGGTGAACACTACAATTGTCCAATCACATTAGCATAATTCCCTCCCACAATGACCATTGGTGATAACAAATACAAAATATATAAATAAAATTTGCTGTAGTAGACATCCTGTGTGCTAACGGTTGAGACTGAAGACAATAGCACATCACACAACCTGGTGAACGCTACAATTGACCAATCACATTAGCCTAATTCCCTCCCACAATGACCATTGGTGATAACAAATACAAAATATATAAATAAAATTTGCATATAATTTTTTTTTTACCGATTAACATTATTGTAAATTTGTGTCAACACTGAGGGCGCCCTAAAAGCAGGTTATAACCGTCTGTCAATCATAAGATTGGTATCAGTATTTATGTAATTGAAGCAGTAGAAAAGTCACAGCAATATTGCTGCATTTCCTTAAATTATAAAAAGTATTCAACAGAAATTTCAGACTTCAATAATCTTCTTATTGGTTGTTAGGAAAATTTAATCATCCATTTCAAACAAGAATGTATTCGTCGATCCATGAAACTGCAAATACCAAAACTGAACACACAACACAAAAGTTAGCAAACTGACCTCATTTTCATTACTAGTGTTCCTAAGGTGATTATGTAAAAGTTTTGTGGCGCCATCCTGCAAAGAAAAAAAAGAAGAGGCAATTCTGCTAAGTGAGCCAATGAGAGATGTTTAGTTTCTAAAAAAACTGAGCATGAAATGAGGCAAGATGTGACTACGGTGATGGATGGCGAATTTAATGGTGTCTGCTGGAAAATAATGAAGAAAAAAAACAAACATTTAAAATTAAAGATTTACCAGGGAGGTGTTGTCAATGTGGGGTGTTATAGTCAGAGTAAGATGTGGAATGGTGCTGAATATCCTGAAGAATGTGTCAAGTTCAATTTTAATTTAATCTACATTAACCCTTTGAATGCCAATGTCAAATAATTTTGTCAATTTATTTTTATCAAGACAAGTAGGAAATTGAGTATTTTTCATATTTTGTCTAAAGTTATCAAAGAAAATACATGATAATGCACAATATTTTGAACTACAATTTTTGAGGAAATTTTATTTGAATCAAAAGGTTAATCACTAATGAACAGAAAGTGTATTATTTGAAAATTTATCTGAAAGTAAGGAAACTTTATAATGTCAGAGAAGAAGAGAAAATTGTGTAAGTCAGTTCTGAGTGACTGAAGTCACAGGAGGGATTCAGCCAACCAATAAACAGAGTGCTGGGTGTACCAGGAAAGATGTTGCACCGTAAACTAACTTTCGTGTTGCACTGCAGAGGGAATTACACAATTACAGGTGTTCAGTCTTTGCACTGATTGGTCAGCAATGCTGTTCATCTTATATTCCACGAATGAAATCAAAACCGAATGCGTACCTATGTAACCATGGCAACCAAGGCCAATCGGGCATAGTTTTATATACAAAAAAATAATAATAAATAAATCAAATCCACAAGTAGAATTCCATTCTTGTAGTTCTGGCAAAATACTGAAATACAACGATTTGTCAAATATTAGTGAAACGCAAACTGACATTTTTCGTGTATTTTTGTTTCTTACCTGGAATGTCTTGGGCAACACTGATAACATCATACTAAACTCTGGAGTGTTCAGTTCAAATAAACTATTAATACAGTCTGAGAAGCCTGTTAAAAAAATAATATAATTTTATTATTGTCACTTTATACCAGTGGTCTTGTGACTTGTTGATAATTACTCAGTAGTGATTATAATAATGCACGAAAAATGAATTTGTTGAATTGTTATGAAATGCAAGTAAAATTCATCGTGATTGAATGATTTCAGTCACATGTAAACGGCCGATGCGATACGATATCTGCCATGTTTTTTGAATCCACACGAGACTGTTTATTGATTGGATAGGTCAAGTCGCTAATTAACCAATCAAAAATGCTGGATGGTGTCGCGTTCTAATTACCATAGCTCATTTAAATACAACAGTTTAACGACCTCATGGTGAACACAACGCGGAAGAGATTTACTGATAATGCACTGTGATCGTTTGGCTTTGATTTCCATGAGAAAACGAATCGTTTTTTTTTTAAATCAAGAAATTAGTTGTTTTCGAAAGATAAACTGAGCATTAACGAAGAATTTAACACCTTTATAGTGATAACAGCTCATTGTTGAATACTTCTGAAACACGGACGTATATTCATGTGGAGAATTGACAAAGGGGGCTGCCACTACCAGAACAAAAGCTGTTGCACTGCGTGTCCGACATCTCATCACCGCTGAACATTAAATAGGTGTGAATATTTTAGGCACTTTGTTCGAACAAATGAATAGGATTAGGAACAATGCTGTTTTGGACCAGCAGGTTGAAACAATGAAGTCAGTCACGGTCTTGTTGAATTTGGGGTGCGGTTAGTAATAGGTACTTTTCATATTTTTGTTAAGAACTCTTTAACCCCAAAGCCTGAATCGGGGGTGCGGTTAATATTACGTATGCAGTTTATATTAGGACTTTATTGATAGTTTGACCCAAGGCGGAAGTCTACCGTATCGTGATCTACTAAGCAATGCATTCATGTTTGTTTTTATTTTAAAATTCTGTTAGAATATACTTTCTGTTAAATAAATGCATATTACATTGAATATACTGAGTATTTTTTTTTTATCAAGTGAAGATTTTTTGATTGACTGTAATTTTTCAACATTTCGTGACGTCTATTTTAGAACCAAAGTAAGACCTTTCACTCTTCCCTGACGCCTATTCAAGAGATTGTACGGAGTATTGTTTGTTTTGTGCATGTGTTGCGGGGAAAAATGACCACGCCCATTTGGTGATCGCAATATGTACGTAATAGAAACTGTACCCCGAACTTGAGCTTTTGACTTCAATTTTTGAATTGATACATTGTAAAATAAACCGCGGTTTATATTAGGATTTTAACGGTACCGCATATGGTAAAACAAGGACAGGTAAATCTGTACATACAAACTCAACAAATAACTTCTCCCCTTTTCATGAAATTGTTTTTCCAGATTGTGTAAGCAATAATAAACGACTGATCTAAAATCAACACAAATTATAATAGAATGTGCCTAGCTGTAAATGGCTGTACAGACGTGTTTGAAAGTGTTATGGACACATGTCTTCCTTATTTGGAAATTGTGCGTCATGTTTACATCCCATTCAAACAACTTTATTTGCACGTGACGGAAATAGGATCCCGTCACTGAACGCACACATTTGCAAATTATGAAACATTCTTCGTTGATATTTCGGGCTTTCAAATAAATTATTAGTTATAAGTTTGGAAAAGATGTAACAAAATAAGGTTATCGTAAGAATACCGCAAGTATGCACTCAGGCAGTACAGGGTCATATCAACCTCTGCTACGTTTTGGCTGATACAACCACTGTACCACTAGCATACAGACTTACCTTTCTAACTTCCGTTGACTTTGCCTCATTTGTCCAACTAATAATTTTACTAACAGCTAATCTGGTTTCACTGGAATTCACAAAATCTGACGGATCCATCAACTCAATTAGATACTGAAGATATTTTAATAATGCTACTTTCACCTACAGAATAAGGTGAAACCAAAGTGAGATGTGAGACATCGCCCTCTGGAGGGTGAACATTAGAAATGAATATTCCTCATACCAGGTAATTATTTTATTCAAGATAAACACGAAAATTGAAATAGAACAGGAAATTTGAATGCTTTAATTTATTGCAAATCAGCAAAACACATGATATAAAACAAATTCCAGTCTAAGCAAACTCATGTCAGTAGTTGACAGCCATGAAGTTTAAACTTGAATAGAATAAATCTGAGAACATTGCAAGAAAAAATGACTTACCTTGACATTGGGTGTCTGTGTTTGGTCCACTATAAATCTTGTTAAAATATTAAACTGCAAATCATAGGGAAACGACTCCCTGAAAATCAAAGTAAAATAGTTAAATTTTTAACTTGTTACAGAAACCATATTGTGTATGATCCTACAGCTACCACCAAAGTGCATCCTTCTTATTGGTTATCGAACCATAAAACCTAACCAGCTAGCAAATCAGAAAACATGTTACATACTACTGGGTGTATTTCGTAATCCACCTTATAGCTTGATTCTTCAAAAAGAATACTTGAATAACTAAGGAGCCTCTTTTCTAACCACTTAGCTATGGTATAAAAAGCAGTGAAATGTAAAGCTTGTTTCCTACCTGACCATATCTAATGCCTTTTCTACTTTTGCATGAATAGATCCTAATAAGTCCATTCCCATTTTATGTAGCAATCTCGTTAATAAAACATACAACCAATCACTGAGGTCCATTTTATGTATTGCTACAAAGTCAGACAATGTCTCTAAAAACAAACTAAAAACCTGAAAAAATATATTTAGAAAGCAAGTGTGATTAAAAACTAGTATGAGTATAGTCAGAAATGCAAAGAGCAACTGTAATAAAAAAAAAAAACAGCAGAGAAACTGATTGAATGACAGCAACATCTAACTTGCCTTGCCATGGGGATCAACAAACATTCGTGTGAAAATTTCAGTACATCTCTTGAGTTCTTGGCGACTGAAAATTAAATAAATTATCTTAATATAATTTCAAATAAATTTGAGAATCTGACACACTATGCTAATACGTGTGTAGGACACTAAAGTGGAACAGCACCAAAGATTATAGGCATAAGTGGAGTGGCAAATAGTAAATGAAATGGCGCATAGATTCTAGGCATAAGTAGAGTGGCAAATAGTAAATGGAATGGCGCATAGATTCTAGGCATAAGTGGGGTGACAATGGTGAATAGATTCTAGGCATAAATGGAGTGGCAAATAGTAAATAGAATGGCGCATAGATTCTAGGCATAAGTGGAGTGGCAATGATGAATAGATTCTAGGCATAAGTGGAGTGGCAAATAGTAAATGGATTGGCGCATAGATTCTAGGCATAAGTGGAGTGGCAAATAGTAAATGGAGTGGCAAATAGTAAATAGATTGGCACATAGATTCTAGGCATAAGTGGAGTGACAATGATGAATAGATTCTAGGCATAAATGGAGTGGCAAATAGTAAATGGATTGGCGCATAGATTCTAGGCATAAGTGGAGTGGCAAATAGTAAATGGAGTGGCAAATAGTAAATGGATTGGCGCATAGATTCTAGGCATAAGTGGAGTGACAATGATGAATAGATTCTAGGCATAAATGGAGTGGCAAATAGTAAATGGAGTGGCAAATAGTAAATGGATTGGCGCATAGATTCTAGGCATAAGTGGAGTGACAATGATGAATAGATTCTAGGCATAAATGGAGTGGCAAATAGTAAATGGATTGGCGCATAGATTCTAGGCATAAGTGGAGTGACAATGATGAATAGATTCTAGGCATAAATGGAGTGGCAAATAGTAAATGGATTGGCGCATATATTCTCGGCATAAGTAGAGTGACAATGGTGAATAGATTCTAGGTATAAATGGAGTGGCAAATAGTAAATGGATTGGTGCATAGATTCTAGGCATAAGTGGAGTGACAATGGTGAATAGATTCTAGGCATAAATGGAGTGGCAAATAGTAAATGGAGTGGCGCATATATTCTAGGCATAAGTAGAGTGACAATGGTGAATAGATTCTAGGCATAAATGGAGTGGCAAATAGTAAATGGATTGGCGCATAGATTCTAGGCATAAATGGAGTGACAATGATGAATAGATTCTAGGCATAAATGGAGTGGCAAATAGTAAATAGATTGGCACATAGATTCTAGGCATAAGTGGAGTGACAATGGTGAATAGATTCTAGGCATAAATGGAGTGGCAAATAGTAAATGGATTGGCGCATATATTCTCGGCATAAGTAGAGTGACAATGGTGAATAGATTCTAGGTATAAATGGAGTGGCAAATAGTAAATGGAGTGGCAAATAGTAAATGGAGTGGCACATAGATTCTAGGCATAAGTGGAGTGACAATGGTGAATAGATTCTAGGTATAAATGGAGTGGCAAATAGTAAATGGATTGGCGCATAGATTCTAGGCATAAGTGGAGTGACAATGATGAATAGATTCTAGGCATAAATGGAGTGGCAAATAGTAAATGGAGTGGCAAATAGTAAATGAATTGGCGCATAGATTCTAGGCATAAGTGGAGTGACAATGGTGAATAGATTCTAGGTATAAATGGAGTGGCAAATAGTAAATAGAGTGGCAAATAGTAAATGGATTGGCGCATAGATTCTAGGCATAAGTGGAGTGACAATGATGAATAGATTCTAGGCATAAATGGAGTGGCAAATAGTAAATGGAGTGGCAAATAGTAAATGAATTGGCGCATAGATTCTAGGCATAAGTGCAGTGACAATGATGAATAGATTCTAGGCATAAATGGAGTGGCAAATAGTAAATGGATTGGCGCATAGATTCTAGGCATAAGTGGAGTGACAATGGTGAATAGATTCTAGGCATAAATGGAGTGGCAAATAGTAAATGGAATGGCGCATAGATTCTAGGCATAAGTGGAGTGACAATGGCGCATAGATTCTAGGCATAAATAGAGTGGCAAATAGTAAATGGAATGGCGCATAGATTCTAGGCATAAGTGGAGTGACAATGGCGCATAGATTCTAGGCATAAATAGAGTGGCAAATAGTAAATGGAATGGCGCATAGATTCTAGGCATAAGTGGAGTGACAATGGCGCATAGATTCTAGGCATAAATAGAGTGGCAAATAGTAAATGGAATGGCGCATAGATTCTAGGCATAAATAGAGTGGCAAATAGTAAATGGAATGGCGCATAGATTCTAGGCATAAGTGGAGTGACAATGGCGCATAGATTCTAGGCATAAATAGAGTGGCAAATAGTAAATGGAATGGCGCATAGATTCTAGGCATAAATGGAGTGGCAAATAGTAAATGGAATGGCGCATAGATTCTAGGCATAAATAGAGTGGCAAATAGTAAATGGAATGGCGCATAGATTCTAGGCATAAATAGAGTGGCAAATAGTAAATGGAATGGCGCATAGATTCTAGGCATAAGTAGAGTGGTAAATAGTAAATGGAATGGCGCATAGATTCTAGGCATAAATAGAGTGGCAAATAGTAAATGGAATGGCGCATAGATTCTAGGCATAAATAGAGTGGCAAATAGTAAATGGAATGGCGCATAGATTCTAGGCATAAATAGAGTGGCAAATAGTAAATGGAATGGCGCATAGATTCTAGGCATAAGTGGAGTGACAATGGTGAATAGATTCTAGGCATAAATAGAGTGGCAAATAGTAAATGGAGTGGCAAATAGTAAATGGAATGGCGCATAGATTCTAGGCATAAGTGCAGTGACAATGATGAATAGATTCTAGGCATAAATAGAGTGGCAAATAGTAAATGGAATGGCGCATAGATTCTAGGCAATACATAATGAATATACCTGAGCATTCTAGAGGTTCTAAGGACATGTTGTAATCCCATTAATCCCTCTTTTCTCTCAGACCATGCAGCACTCCCCATTTTGTTAAGTATATCAGGAACATCCTGCAAAAAAGAGACATCATTTATACAATGGCTAACTACAGAATATGCATATGTATATGTACAATATTTTAACTCAAGCCCTGTACCAATGGAAAATTATGTCAATTTGATTCTAAATTAACAAAGAAATTATAGACAACTACATAAAAACTTGCCAAATTTTGCATCAAATTTTTGGCAGGAAAATAATAGTGCTCAAGGGGATTCACAGAAGTACAAAGAGCGGCATAGATGATCACTAGTACTTTCGCTTTCAGGTTGGCAGCTGTTATTATCCAAATATTTAAAAGTTTGTATTAGTGTTTGTCTGTCTCGTAATATTTCCTAGGTTCTAATACGGCTTCTAATAGTAATTCTAGTCTGATACAAAAGATTAAAAAATCATTATTTGTTACAAGGACTGACACATGGGCATTGGGTTATATATTTTATTTACAGATTGACACCTCACCTCTAATCTTGAGTGTCCAGATCCATATGATCCAATAGAACAAACACTAGAAGCGTCACTTTCGTCATCAGAATACGCTGAACTATAGGATTCCCACCGTTTCTGTGACGTTTGTTGCCTTAGTGCTTCAGCTAGAGCTAATTCAGTATCTTTATCAGTACCAAGTACAGGTTGTTCTAACGGTTGCCGGGCAACCCTCTGTGCTCCTACAGAGCTACCGCTTACATGCCGATCACGAAGTCCTACGACATAAACAATATTATAGTAATCATCATTCAATGACCCCCCAAACAAAAGACAATATCACTGTAATCCAATCAATAATGAAGTAAATCGATTGCGACTCTGACTCCATTTCCGAAGAATCAGTGAAGTTTTTATTGTTATATACTTTTCCAGACATTATAATTCATAAAATCTTGAGTGAACAGCTCCATCTGAGACCTATTATCATACAGAACCCTTTATTTGAAATATGGTAAAATTGATATGGTGCTGATGAGGCAACGTTAAGAAGAACGAAAAAATGTTAGTTAAGTTACACACAGAGAATGTACATAAGCAAACAAAATGTGGAATTTTCTAAATGAAAGAGGTCTGAATCTTTAAAAAGCAATTTGTGCAGTTTTAATTGTTTTTTTATTTGTTGACAGTGTGCACTGGCATTGTTTGAACATAGTCTGAAAAATATATTATACATGATATCAATCAGTAATGAACATGTTCTATGCAAATCAATCAATCAATCAATCAAATAAGTAGTACATACCATATCCTAATCTATTGGGACTTGTCTCTCGACTACAACCTTGACTTCTAGGAATCCGACTTTTCCTTGGTGTCTTTTTACTATCAGTTTCTACCCTACCATATGAAGATGTGTATAGATACCTTGTGGGAGACGCTGACCGACTACCCGATCGGCTGCCAGCTGTCAATATAAAATAAGTTTAGTTATCAAGTTTTCTTGTTATTGGCTTGGAAAGCGAGGCAAATATAATTATTTGAAAGGATGAAAAGATGTATTTCAATACAACTGGTATTTTACTCACGTTGTGATTGTGAAACACCGACCCGTCCTTTTCGCGGCGTTGGCAGCCTTGAGCCTTCCACCGTAGCCTTATGTACTGTACTTGGAGACGTTGTCACTGAGAAACAGAGTAAACTCTCAAATAAGATAAACTGAAATTACATGTAGTGGAGAAAACAAACACCAAACCTTCACACTGTGGTTTGTTCATATATTCATTGACTATAAATCATCGGGATACAAGCAGTACGTTTTTAAAGAATGTACTGAAATTTGAACATGCAAAAAACTTACACCAAATAAAATCACAAATCCTGTAGTCATGACGATTCCAGATACAGTCATATTTATACAATCATATAAACAGTTTTTTTAATGTAATGTGCTACACGGCAGTTATATTTATGGATAATTTTTTATTACCAAAATATTAGGCAAAATATTAAAAATATGAATTATATTAATTTATTTTTGAGTGTTCTTTTTATTTGGGGATGTTATAAAAAAAGTCTTTAAAACCACAAATAAGCAGGATAAACTAAAACTAAGTGATTTCACTTAGCCAAAAAAAAAGGGTTTTTCTTCTCATCCTAGGGAAAGTTGAAAAAATGTTGCAATGATATATGTTCAATTTTTGTTTTTGCATTAAGATATGATCAACTTTTAACATTTATTATATACTATTTTTTTAATACATGCTGAAAGTCAATTTGAATCAACAAAACATCTAAAGCAAAAAAACATTTCCCCATTCTACCATAGATGGCGCAAAACAGGTCAGTGAAAAAAGAAAAAAAAAGAAAATGCGTTTCAAACTGATACAGGTAATGACGAGAAGCAAACACTTTTTTTTGGCATTACTAATACAACTATTACATCAAGCACAAATACGAGAAGAACAAAGCGTATCACACCTCTTTTCTTTGCTGTTTTCACTAGGGCAGATGAAGGGAAACAAGACGACATTAGGAAATTCAGGAGCGGGAAAATAAAGAAAAGGTCAACGAAATTCAGTTAAATAGAAGCGACATTAGCACATCATGCTGCAAAAGCCATTAGTCGCTTATTAGGTGGAAAGGAAGTATATGCAGATGCATTATGGGTGAATTACTAAGCAGATGCATCATGGGTGAATTACTTAGCAGATGCATCTTGGGTAAGCAGATGCAAAATAGTAAGAAACTAAGCAAATGCATTAACATGGTTGCATCATGGGTAAGTAACTGAGCAGATGCATTATGGGTAACTAAGCCGATCTATTATGGGTACCCACGAATGATTGCATTAAAGGTTTAGTCATGGTGAGTTGAGTATGAATTCTAGATTAAATACCATATCAATTTGCAGAAACTAAAGTATGTGATGTGAATTTTATGAGAAAACAAACTAGCAATCACTGAATTTGTTGGTCTTCTTTAAAATATGAATACTAAAATTTTAACTTTTATTGATTAATATTTACAGATCAAGAAAAACCAACAAATTTTATCATGTTTCCATGGCAACAGAGAACCATGCAAAGAAAGAAAAAACATGCATGAATGTACTCATCATTATTGATGTTAAAAAGCCGAGGCATACACATCTGTCATTATTCTATCAAACACAGAAGAAACGATATACACTACAGCTGACAGAATATCAGAGAGCGGCAAATATTTGATAAAATGCATTAACATCTGCTTGAAAGCAAGAATTAGCAGAAAAAGTTACAGATTTTGAGCTGACGTAGTTACTATCAATTTTTACTAGAGCCTGAAAAATATATGCACATAGACAGTACTCTCTTGTACATTGATACTTACATGGTAGGTTTTCTTTAGATGTTGATTTCTTCATTCTTTGTGGTGATTTTGACATGGTGGAACTACTGGCAGATAGATACCTTGATTTTGAGCGGCTTGCAGCTGACACATTGATATCACTATTTGACCTCTGACCCAACCGAAATCCACCATCTACAAGATAAACAATTTGATGTTCAATCTTGCTGCAGAAAATAATCTACTGTCGGTGAAAATCATAAAAGTCTAAATTTTGAAAATGAATTCCAATTCCATAAAATCAACAATTCTTAGCAATAATTCATAGCAGTGAATACTAAACGCTTCACTGTTCAATATACAGGCATTTTGTTATTGAACACAACTAACTGTAGTTTCTGATTATGAATATTTGAAAATGATAAAATTGCTCCTAAAAATGAAGAAATCATAGAAATAAATCAGCATCTACAAAAGTAGTAGTTAAAGCAAATAAAACATCGGTATTTTAGATTTTAGTTTTATCATAAACAAACAGATAAATAACTGTGTCAGTCTGTCTGCCCAGTGACAATAGTTTTTCATGCATAGAATCAATTGTGACTAATTATGACATGTAATTTAGGTGTTTGTAAGGTCTCTGAAGCAAATGAACATTGAGAAATTTTGTAGCTTCATTTTGTCAAAAGTTGATTTCACTTTTTGAAGAAATCCAACACCTACCTGTTTCTGTTTTCGGTGCTATTGACTTTCTTCCAGCTGTATGTGACATTCTAAAATATAAACATTTTTATTATCATAAGTGAAACATCATATTGGAATAATATATTGTTAAAGATAAGATTTGAATTCTGTACATTATTTCAATCTCTTAGTGTAGATCGTATGTACAGAAGATATTACGTAGTTTTGCTACAGCTACATGTAACACTCTCTCCAATTGGCTAAATTTTCCACTTTTGCTGGAATTGAGCTAATCAAGTGATAGATAAAAAACTTACCCAATATTTTCATGAGAGCCACTGTGACTGGATCCTCTTGACAATGAAGATTTGGGTTGGATATTTAATGCGCCTGTACTTGATGATTGGCCCAGCTCTCCATGAAGCATTTTTTGTTTAGAGACATCTAATGAGTTTAGTAACTTTTCCGCTCGTTGTTTAAAATGTTCAGCAAATGCCCAGAATGCCCTACAATAGAATAGAATTGATAAGTTACCAAACTTTGCAACACAAAAACAACTAGCCCCCCTCCCCCAATGTGTATGTGAGGGCAAAGTGTTGGTAAGAGTTCCTTAGGATCCCCCTCACCCATAACCATAACTGGACCCTCCAGTACCCCTCCTCCATTTCTTTGGGTCACTTATAATTAGATGGAGGGGCATATTGAAATACAATGGGGGGCTGGAGTGTTAGGGGTTGAATAAGCCTTTAAAGAATTCCAAAGTGTTCATTTAGAGTCCACCTTGTTCTAATGGTGGCAATAATTTCAAGTACATAATGAATACTTGATATATTAAAGACCAAAAATCATAATCATGACTGTCAGTTTGAAAACTGTGCCTCACACATTTTGTTTTTCAATTTTGATTTCTGGAAAAGTGTGCCACCGATGGTACAATTGAGAAATGTTTTTTTTCTGTCAATCAATCTTCAATGCACGTCTCGTTTAACAAATGTCTAAATGTTAAAGGTATATATCATTGTTGTGGTATTGAATGTTCTTAATAAAAAAAAAGTAAAACTTTTTTTTTTTGGACCAAACTGAATTGCAAAAAAACAACGCCGGCCACGCCTAACAGTTGAATTTGCACACAAGCAACCATTCTACATATGACAAGCAATGTGGGAGATGGTATATTGCTTGAATCATTTGGAATTTCAAATAAAATTACACAAAGCTATAATAAATAAATAGACACAGTTTGTACTACAGAAAACTATTATGATTCCCACAACAAGTGTGAGATGAACAGGAGCCCTTACTGACATCCGCCCTTGGGACTACTGGTACTTACTTTCTGCCCCACGGCCTAACTTCAGAGTCTGCGTCTTCTATCCCTCTACGAACTGAGCCTTCTAAAAGTACTACATGTTTTTCTAGTGAATGGGTTTCCCAAGTTGATAAAATAGTATGAATAAAATTGATTGTTTGTCTGAAACAAAAAATAAGAAAATTATTAAAACACAAACAATGTAACCACAGATATATATATATATATAGTAACAAATTGCTCCTGCCTTTCAAATGATTTTTGTATGCATGTGCAGGCTTCAAGCAGGTGATGTGTTAACTTTTTCACCACCAGCTCCCTCTTTTCATTCACAAAATAATTCTTTTTTATTCTGCACTTCCCCTAAAATAACCAAATTTTTTAGTAAAAACCTAAAATGTTGTCAGCTGGCTTGAAAATCAGGGTTCATTGTCAGAAATAATGAAGAATACAAGAACAAAGTGCTGAATAATTTGTCCAAGAAATTCTTGTGGTAAAACGGCTAAAGACTAAAATAGTTAGATATCTACTAGCCCAATACAATAAGATTTTGTCTAAGACACTTTTGAACTTGATTTTGGGTAAAGTTTTGTCAGACATGTCCTAGTATTGCGACCACACATCTGTCACAAAAATCAAATTATTTGATTTTGAACTTTTTCTTTGTTATAGTTTAATTTCAAAATGTTGATCTTTCAGAGAGGACTATGGCATTAGGATAACCTTCATTAAAAATTGACCATCATCAAATGTGACCATCATAAGCACATGAAATGATATTCTGACATCACTGAGACCTTTGTTCTGTGTTTATGTTGGATTTCATGCATAATGTTGAATCCTCAGTAAAAGGAAAATGATCTATTATTAAAATCCACTATACAATACTACATGATACAATTTATTACGAGTTAATTATTAAATACATGAAGTTGCATCAATCATTCTTACCTTCTCATTGGAGCTGCCTTTGATGACATTTGACTAGTAACATTTGGAAGTAACCGCGCAGAATGAGTGTACTGTAAAGAAAACGCATAATTAATCCCTGTATCACCAAGTGTTTCACTCCACTATTGGGAACAATAGTTGTATAAAGGTCAAACAGTGTTGAATATGAGTCCCATGTGATGTATACAACACATGCCAATACACTATGTTTACATGAAATCAACTGTTTAATGTATTGTACTGAGAAATATGTCAAATTATGCATGTAACTAATTTAGTTTATCTTGTATTTGAAAATACCTTTATTCATAATAAAAAATGTTGTCTTTGGGATACTTCTCTAAACCAAGCACCAATATAGTGATATCTGTCTA